ATATTAATATAGAAAGCACAGAGAAATTCACTTTTACAAGGATACTCACTTCCGCCCCAGCCCGGGGTTGAACTCTCGACCTACGGAATCTGTCTCCTAGCAGTGCAGAACAGCGCGTTAGACCGCTCGGCTATCTAGGCAAGTTATAAAACTTGCTTTCGATGCCGATGGAATTCTCACAACGCTGCCCTACACTACACGGTCATTGAGAATGGAAGTGAGATACAGTTATTTGGACATTAGTTTTTAGAGGATTGTTACCAATACATGTTGTGATGAAATTAATTTTTTATTTATAAAGCACAAATTACAACAACTCTTAAACTAATAGTTTAACCCCGAGAGTTCAACCTCGGGCTGGGGAGGAAGTGAGTATCCTTGTAAAAGTGAATTTCTCTGTGCTTTCTATATTAATACTCCTTCACTTAGGGCAGTTATATTAGTTTAAGAGTTGTTGTAATTTGTGCTTTATATATATATATATATATATATATATATATATATATATATATATATATATATATATATATATATATATATATATATATATATATATATATATATATATATATCAGTAGGTAATTCCACATTTTTGAGTTGTTGTAATTTGTGCTTTATAAATAAAAAATTAATTTCATCACAACATGTATTGGTAACAATCCTCTAAAAACTAATGTCCAAATAACTGTATCTCACTTCCATTCTCAATGACCGTGTAGTGTAGGGCAGCGTTGTGAGAATTCCATCGGCATCGAAAGCAAGTTTTTAACTTGCCTAGATAGCCGAGCGGTCTAACACGCTGTTCTGCACTGCTAGGAGACAGATTCCGTAGGTCGAGAGTTCAACCCCGGGCTGGGGCGGAAGTGAGTATCCTTGTAAAAGTGAATTTCTCTGTGCTATCAATATATATATATATATATATATATATATATATATATATATATATATATATATATATATATATATATATATATATATATATATATATATATATATACATATACACATATATATACATATATACATATACATATACATATATACATATATATATATATATATATATATATATATATATATATATATATATATATATATATATATATATATATATATATATATATATATATACGTTTACGAACTGCAAGTCTGAATTTTGAACACGATTACCCCCCCCCCTCCCTATAGTGTTGATGTGAACACAAACCAGAAGTCTCTGTCGAGACTGAAGCTCTACTGGTTTGTACTTATAACAAATGAAGACAAAAGTAGCAGTTGGGACTTAAAACTTTACAACAGCAATAAATAAAATAATGATGCTTGGTTGAACTCTTTTTGTGGCAAGATACTGCAATAAGACTACAGCTGTAGGAGTAGTTATTAATAAACTTTTAGAGTATTTACAGTTTTAATAACCATGGCAACATCATTCCTCGAAATCAACCATAAGTCTCTGTCGAGACTGTAGCTCTACTGGTTTGTACTTATCAAAAACCATTGCACTATTTTATGTATCTTTGTGTAGTCTACTTGTGTGCCAACTTATTTTGAAATCAAACTAAAACTGTAGAAGGAGTAGCGTTTTAAAAGAATTTCACAGAAAATTCTATTTTTAGTTACCATGGTAACACCGTTCATCGAAATCAAAAACCGATGCACTATTCTATGTATCTTAGTGTAGTCTACCTGTGTGCCACGTTAAATTGAAATCAGACCAAAACTGTAGAATAAGTAGCGTTTTAAAGGAATTTCACAGAAAATTCTATTTTTAGTAACCATGGCAACACCGTTCATCGAAATTAAAAACCGATGCACTATTCTATGTATCTTAGTGTAGTCTACATGTGTGCCAACTTATTTTGAAATCAAACCAAAACTGTAGAAGGAGTAGCGTTTTAAAGGAATTTCACAGAAAATTCTATTTTTAGTAACCATGGCAACACCGTTCATCGAAATCAAAAACCGATGCCCTATTCTTTGTATCTTAGTATAGTCTACTTGTGTGCCAAGTTATATTGAAATCAGACCAAAACTGTAGAAGGAGTAGCGTTTTTAAGGAATTTCACAGAAAATTCTATTTTTAGTCACCATGGCAACACCGTTCATAGAAATTAAAAACCGATGCACTATTCTATGTATCTTAGTGTAGTCTACTTGTGTGCCAAGTAATGCTGAAATCAGACTAAAATTGTAGGAGGAGTAGCGTTTTGAAAAATTGTTTACAGACAGACAGACAGACAGACGGACAGACAGACAGACAGACGGACGGACGACGGACACCATACTATCGCATAAGCTCTTCTGGTATCTGACCAGTAGAGCTAAAAATTGATAAAAAGAATTGTGTATCTTAGTGTAGTCTACTCGTGTGCCAAGTTATATTGAAATCAGACCAAAACTGTAGGAGGTGTTGCATTTTGAAAGCATTGCACAGAAATTTCTAGTTTTAGAAACAAAGGCAACACCGTTCATCGAAATCTAAAATCGATATACAGAATTATGTATCTTATTGTAGTCTACTTGTGTGCCAAGTTACAATGAAATCAGACTCAAACTATAGGAGGAGTAGCATATTGAAAGTATTTCACAGAAATTTCTATTTTTAGTAACTACGGCAACACCGTTCATTGAAATCTAAAATGGATATATCGAATTATGTATCTTAGTGTAGTCTACTTGTGTGCCAAGTTATATTGAAATCAAACCAAAACTGTAGATGGAGTAGCATTTTGAAAGCATTTCACAGAAATTTCTATTCTTAGTAACCACGGCAACACCGTTCATCGAAATCAAAAATCGATACACAGAATTATGTATCTTAGTGTAGTCTACTTGTGTGCTAAGTTATAATGAAATCAGACCAAAACTGTAGGAGGAGTAGCATTTTGAAAGTATTTCACAGAAATTTATATTTTTAGTAGCCACGGCAACACCGTTCATCGAAATCAAAAATCGATACACAGAATTATTGTATTTTTGTGTAGTCTACTTGTGTGCCAAGTTATATTGAAATCAGACCAAAACTGTAGGAGGAGTAGCATTTTGAAAAATTGTTTACAGACAGACAGACGGACAGACGGACGGACGCCGGACGCATTACTATCGCATAAGCTCTTCTGGTCTCTGACCAGTAGAGCTAAAAATGGTACTCAATTGAAAACTACAATCAATGGCCCATTTCTAAGTGGCATATTATGGGGGATGGGGCAGAAATCATATTAAAATCTGTTAAACTTAATCATCAGACTTGATCTGCTGTATAACATGTTAAATGTAAAATTAGAAATTAGTGAATTATTTATTTGAAATTTGTTTATATTACTTGCTTGCATTTTCAAAACGATGTCAGCAGGATTAAAAATAGCAAGTTTTGGATGTTTTAAATAGTAAAAACTCCTTTGCAATGCCAAGAATTACGCATTAAAAACCTAACTCATAATGTAATGCCAGTAGTTTAATCCTCACAGTGATCTTAATGTGTGATAATGGCTTGTCATCAAGTTATAAGCTATGTAACAGTTAGGGTATATTATATAATATATATCATGACATTAATTTTATGAAGGACAAGTATATTAATGTACCTAATATATCCCATTTTGGGAAAATGTCATGTTTACCGTCAGCTTGCAATCAACTATTCGTCAACTGAATCCTCGAAAACAATTGACCGGTTTTCTGAAAAGTTCAGTTGTTTTGCATAAAATTTTCTGTTGACCGTCAGACTGCTTTTTACCGAGTTGACCATTAATTGATCATGAATGCTTATACTTTGACAATTTCATGCAAGAAAGGAGTTGAACAATGTTGAACACTCCCACTATGTGAAATATTGCAGCTAGACTATACAATTACGAAAATGTCTAGTTGACCGTCATTTTATCCTCATCTAGCAGTCAACTAGTCATCAACTGAATACTCAAAAACAACCAGTGTTGAACACTCCGACTTTGTGAGAGCTTGCAAAATTGCCTATAGTTGACCACTCAATGTTAGAAAATCTCTCTGACTCTATTTATTTTGGGATTTATAAAATGGCATTATAATTATGGATCGGATTTGCAATTCCATAATTATTACAATAATCTGGAATCAAGTAACGTGTGCAAGTGGGTATTTTGTTAGAAAGTGGAGAATTTTGAATTAAAACAATTGTTTTCATGAATGATTCATCTTGTGCAATACATGTTAGTATAAAATATAAAGATTTTTCTTTTCGTCATACTTTTCTTTAAGAAATTGGAAAAACATAATACTGGAGGTAGAATATAGGTCCCTACTATTGTATACTTGTTAAAATATAATAACTTGCCGTCCGTTCACTTTTTTCTGCAAGAAAATAAAAGAGCCAGAGCAAATTATGAGAGTGTGCACATGCCTCTCATTTTTCATGCATTTATACACCCATTATTTTGACTTTTCCTACTCAGAGACAGGCACACTGATTGCCTTAGGTTTCAAAACTCCCTCCGTTATTTTTTGAAATACAACATGGACTGAATAATGGAGTATTCAACAGTGGTCAACTGCGAAGAAAATAAAGGAGAGTTCAACAGTGGTCAACTGTTAAGAAAATAGAGGAGCGTTTAACAGTAGTCACTTGCAAAGAAATTATAGGGATGTTCAACTAATGGTTAACTGCACAGAAAATATAGAGTATTCAACAATTGTCAACTGCAAAGAATATGTAGAGAATCGAACAGTGCACATAATAAATAGGAGCATTAAACGTGGCCAACTATATGCAAACGAGCTGAAAGGTCCTTCGCTTGCATTGCAAAAATTCAATTTATGGTGAATTGACGGTCAATTGACGGTCAATTAATCGTCAATTAAGGAACAAACTGAATACTCCGATTGAATTCTAATAGTCTGTTTTCGTATTTGATAGCGGAAGTTTGTAGATATAGAAGCGGCTATCAAACCCATTAAACTCGGAAATATAAATTATAGGTATTCTTTTGCACATTTAAATGAATTTTACAACGATATAATGCTACCTTTTGCGTGCTCGGAACATCGATATCACTTGTCTCCTCATCACAAACTTCTTCCTTCACTTCAATTCGCTGGAGTAAAAGCTCTTCTGTCAAAATAATGCATATGAATTTAATTTAATACACGCTTACCTTTGAAGCGTACGGAAGCCCATTTAGGACCTATCAAAAATATTTTTGAATTCGTTATAACGATTTTTAGAATTCGTTATAACGAATTTAATTTGTTATAACAGATTTTTAGAATTCGTTATAACGAATTTAATTTGCTATAACAAATTTATTGAATTCGTTCTAACGAATTTAATTTGTTATAACAGATTCATTGAATTCGTTATAACGAATTTAATTTGTTATTACAGATTTATTGAATTCGTTATAACGAATTTAATCTGTTATTACAGATTTGTTGAATTTGTTATAACCAAATTCTTGAATTGATTATAACGAATTCAACAAATCTGTAATAACAGATTAAATTCGTTATAACGAATTCAATAAATCTGTAATAACAAATTAAATTCGTTATAACGAATTCAATGAATCTGTTATAACAAATTAAATTCATTATAACGAATTCAATAAATCTGTTATAACAAATTAAATTCGTTATGACGAATTCAATGAATCTGTTTTCACAAATTAAATTCGTTATAACGAATTCTAAAAATCTGTTATAACAAATTAAATTCGTTATAACGAATTCTAAAAATCGTAATAACGAATTTAAAAATATTTTTTGATAGGTCCTAAATGGGCTTCCGTAGAAGCGGATAAGTTATTCAATGATCTGAATCAAAACAAGGATAAGCTAATACATAGAAATATGTAGTTCAATATATTAAAATACGTTTATAAAGGGTATTTAATAGTTGGATATTGTATAAAAACAGGATATTAAAAAAATATTTTATCTTGCTTCTTAATCCCCTAGAAAATGAATATCTTTCAAACAAGTCTAAGATTTCCTTGTTCTATACAAGGTTTTTTTTCTCAGAATATCAATCCATTTTCCCAACAGAACACTCTAAAAATACTAGGTCTAGTATGTATAAAGATTCATTCTAAAGATTTTCTTAATAATGATTATATGCATAATTCTTCGCTGAGCAACATGCATATGCTTAATTTCTGTTGCATAAACATTCTAAGTAACCCGCTTAGTCATTCTTAGCTTAGTGTGTCTTAATTTCAACAAGAAAATATTTTAACTCCTTTACTCGGTGAAAATGAAAGTCATGGGACGACAGGGGGAAACAGGATAATCTGGGACAATGACTGGGGACAACAGGGTGTGGACAGGGAGGTCAGAGAATGTCAGGGGACGACAGGGAATAAACACGGATAACAACCGTGGACGACAGGGAGTGGACTGGGAGGTCAGGGACAACGATAGGGGAATATAGAAGTAGTCAGGGAGCGACAGGTATATGTCAGGGACTGACAGGGAAACGAAAGAGGATTTTTTGGACTCTAAGGGGATAATCACAGGCCTTTAGATCGCTTTAATCCGACTTTAAAAAATGGGTTGTTAAAATATAGTTTTTATACACCCCCATTTTTTTTAAAGTTGAATTTAAGCGATCCAAAGGCCCGTGGTGATAATTGACTCAGCAGTGCATGCAGAAGTTTTTGCCTAATTTAATGATGCTTGTAGGGGTTTAAGAACCGTTTGGGGAACATTTGTAACAGTTTTCGTGTCAATAAGCGCTATTTCATTAGACAACGGAATTTTCTTTTAGAAATGCACAACAACCCATGCTCTCACTTTTTTGTAGCATTTTTGTGCCACTTTTTGAAATTTTCCAACTTACCAAATTTGCTAATAACTCTCTGTACATGTCCAGGCTGGTTACTATCAATTTCATCGATCTCCATTCCTACCACTTTCATGTAATAATTTTAAAAATCTGTCAAAATCAAAAGATTTTCAAATGCAGTTGGAACGTTTTGTTTAAAAAAAATTCATACAATTCTGACATATTGAAATTAAATGAAATAATAATACTTCAGTTAATTATCAAATATACGATTTATATACTTAGAAAATTTGATGCTTATTAATATTTATGCATTTTACACAAGCATTTCTTTTCAAAAAAGTTGTTTGAAAAAGTAGTCACTTTACCTTGTAGGAAAAACTAATCTGTTAAATTATCGCATCTACTTTGACGATAGCGGTGTCCATGTCTGTTATTCTTTGGTACGAAATGTAGTCTTTACACACATTTCGCACAGATTACCCTGTTGGGTTTGAGTTTTTAGTGTAAGTCAACCCCCATTTTATACTATTATCTCAGATAAGTGCATATAAAAACATCAAGTATGTATTTAATGAATTTTATTGTGGCGATAATTGGGCACGGCTGTTTATCCAGAGACACAAATTATGACAAGAGGCCCATGGGCCACATCGCTGACCCGAGCATTGTGGCAAGGAAAAAGTAGAAATTGGTTTACAATACTATTGAAAAGTTAAAATCCAAAAGTTTGGCCCCGCCCTACCCATGGGGGTCATGATTTGAACAAACTTGAATTTACACTACCTGAGGATGCATCCATATAAATATGAGCAATTATGGCTTTGCTATTCTTGAGAAGAAGATTTTTAAAGAGTTTTCCTATATATTTCTATATAAAACTTTGGTTGCCCATTGGTTGCAAAACAAGAAACGAGAAATGAGGAACAACAGAATATAAAAACATAAACAATGACCTTTAAAATGTCAACCAAGGGGGTCAGTTTTTGCCTTGATTTAATTTTGTTAGACAACAGATGCTGAGTGAAATTAA